GTAGTTCTGTATCCACATGCTGAAGGAAAGCCTGGAGGAGTGCACCTCCCATCCAGCCTTCTGCACATCTCTGCATCTTTACACCACAGCAGTTCACGAGACTACAGATGGAAGGGAAGACTCCACAGCTCAACTTTAACTCATAATCTGACCCAAACTCCTACTTCCTACATCTTATTAGTAGGGTGACCATCCATTGTGGTTTGAGCAGGAATTGAACACTGGACACTTGGTTGTGTTATTTGAGGACACTGTAGAACCTTCAGGAGACAGGACCTCACTGGAGAAAGTAAAGACACTCAGGGGTGGGCCTTGAAGTTTATATCCACTTCCTGCCCTTTCCCTGTTTCCTGACTGCCTCCTTGATGCAAGCAGCCACTGCATGTTCTTGCCACCACGGCTTACTGGCCATAAAGTACTTTACTCTCTCAAACCTGAGCCAAAAATAAACCTTTGTCAGGTATTTGGCCACATCAATGAGGAAAGTAACTAATACATCATCCATCTAGTTGCTTTGGTCATATCTACTCCATTCTGCCATTACCTGATTGGCTACCAATCCCTACTCACATGTCATTTGCTTCTCTGCCCCAGTCTTAATTACTCACTCTGCTGTCTCAGTAGAAGACATTAAAGTGCCCCCATGTTAAAGTGTCTATTCTCCCTGGTCAAGGTTAGCCCCTTCTCAGTTTGTTATCTACTCTGCCCACCTAGCTGGCCTTCAAAACATTACACATGAACGGAGGAATCACACTCATCTTTTAAGAATACACTGTTGAATAGTATTTTGAACTTAGACTTATGTCTAATATGGCAGAAAACTAAAAACAAGTCTAACCACGACACAAAACCTACAAGGTCTTAAGTGCAGTTACTTGAAAAATCTGTAAGATAACAGATGTCATAATCAATCACCACCTACTGTAAGGAGACGCTTCTCTGATGAGGGATGGGTGATACACTGATCTATGGGTACAATAAGATGACATTAGGAACCATTTTATTGCATTGTTCTTCTAGCATGCCCTCTGCTAGATTCTGTTACCTGTCTCACCATATGTTCTTGGCCTCGTTAACAGTGTCAGGTATGGATTAATCTTGTGGGGTGGGCCCTAAATCTAAAGTTTTAAGAGTGGTTGGTTGCTCCCACAACATTTATGCCACTATTGCACTTGTGGGCATATTTTGACAGGCAGGTTGTTACTGTAGCTTGCAGGTTCACAGCTGGGTGAGACAGATTACTTTTACTCCAGTAATATGCTGTGTTAGTTACTTTGATGTTGCTGTGATAAACACTAACAAGGCAACTTATAGGAGAGTCTACTATGGTTCCAAAGGGTTACAAATCCATCGTAGCAGGAATTGTGGCAGCAGGAGGGAGGCATGGCATCAGGAACAGTTGAGAGCTCACATCTCAAACAACAAGCAGGAAGTTGAGAAAGCTAATTCAAAATGATGAAAGTCTTTAAACTCTCAAAACCTTCTTCTAGTGACATACTTCCTCCAAAAGGCCACACACCTCCTAAGTCTCCCAAACAGTTGGGGACCAAGTACTCAAATTCCTGAGACTGGGGGACATCTCATTCAAGCCACCATGTATGCATGGTACTCTCCAGCACTATGAATGCTTGCAAGTACAAACCCTAGGGAATATCTGTACTGTAACTGGGGGATGTGTGCTAATTTTCTCAGTATTCAAAAGGTCCTCAGGGTTCACTAAGGAAAAAGTCCTACGTAAATATGGAATAACATCCTGGGTCCATTCCTTAGCCACACCAGAAGAACAAAACCTTTTAAATCCTGATAACACTGAAGGAAGGGGAAAGGTGTGCTGTGAACATTACATGTGGGTAGACTGGTTATGGAGCACCATTACCAAGCCTGTCTGAAATGCCCTGCCCACAAAATTATCTAACACATCAACCTTGGAATACCTCTAAGCAGTTGGAAAATGCCTATGTTGTCTATTCTATGCCTTTGAAGGCCAGCAAAGCATGTTTGTGCAGAACAAGTCATCCCCTGTAAGTTCATAAGGGTCTCTATGCCTGATTGCTAATGTTTGAGCTTTGAGCCAGAGGTGAAGGTCTTCAGAAAGTAAGCTCACACCAGAATGTGAGCACCAGCCTTGGCTGGGACACCAAACAGACACTCATTACATAATACAAACTACGTGATGGACTTACACCCTGGCAGCACAGCCGGCATGCCTCCCTCTGTCAAGGCACACGGTCACCCAAAAGGAAGGTACTAACACTGTCCATGCAAATAAGAGGCCCTGGCTTTGGTCTTAGTTAGGGTTTCTATTGCTGAGATGAAACACCATTACCAAAAGCAAACTGTGGAGGAAAGGGCTTATCTGGCTTACATTTCCACTTTGTAGTCCATCACTGAAGGAAGTCAGGACAAGAACTTAAATAGAGCAGAAACCTGGAGGCAGAGCTGATGCAGAGAAAGGGTGTTTCTTACTGGCTTGCTCCCTCTGGCTCGTTCAGCCTGCTCGCTCTTTCTTTCTTTCTTTCTTTCTTTCTTTCTTTCTTTCTTTCTTTCTTTCTGTCTGTCTTTCTTTTTCTTTTTCCTTTTTTTTTTTGAGACAGGGTTTCTCTGTAGTTTTGGAGCCTGTCCTGGAACTCACTTTGTAGACCAGGCTGGCCTCAAACTCACAGAGATCTGCCTTCCTCTGACTCCCAGGTGCTGGAATTAAAGGTGTGCAGTACCACCACCCAGCTAGCCTGCTTTCTTACAGCACCCAGTAAGCCGGCCCAGGAGTATCAAAACATACAATGAGCTAAGCCCTTCCACATCCATCACTGATTAAGAAAATGTCCTACAGGCTAGTCTACAGATCTTATGGAGGCATTTTCTCAGTTGAGGCTCCTGCCTCTCCAATGATACTTGTGTCAAGTTGACATAAAGCCAGTCAGCACAACTTTCCTACGTAAGCTCAGATGAGACAGCAAATACGAGTCATCAGTATGAACAGACACACTCTTTGTAAAGCAAGAGTTACAGGGTCAAAGAGTCACAGCTATTTCTGTGACTCTGAAGTGCACGGCAATCATCTCCTGCAAGACTGCAAAGCAATGTGAGGCAAAAGCCTGGCTAGCATTAGTGATCCTTGCCAAGATGGGATTTAAACAAGGGTGGGGCTTGAAGCTGGATCCAATCATGAGTCAGTTTGGGAGCTGGAAAGGAAATTAAGCCAAACTACCAAAAATTACAAAATTATTTCTCAGTCTTAAGACTTGAGGGCTTTGACAAACCCATATATCAGGGTACTATTATGAGAAGACAAATGGCTACTTCTTGAAGATGCTAATTTTTGTTGTTTTGCATTGTCTTTAAGCTTCGAGTGCTTACTCATGATGTTGCTAAGAATTATGACATACATGGTCCACCGGAGAAGGGGAAAGGAACAAGATCTCCTAAGCTAATGGGGAGCATAAGGGAGAGGAGTTAGAAGAAAAAGAAGAGGAGAAGGTAGAGGAGGACATGAGGGAACAGGAAGATAGTCAGGGGAAGAATAGAGGAGAGCAAGAAAAGAGATATCATCATAGAGGGAGTCATTATAGGTTTAAAGAGAATTCTGGCACTAGGGAAATGTCCAGAGATCTACAAGGTTGACCCCAACTAACAATCTAAGCAATAGTTGAGAGGCTACCTTAAATGCCCTTCCCTGATAATGAGATTGATGACTACCTTATATGACATCCTAGTGCCTTCATCCAGTAGCTGATGGAAGCAGAAGCAGACACCCACAGCTAAACACTGAGCTGAACTCTGGAATCCAGTTGCAGAGAGGGAGGAGTGATGAGCAAAGTGGTTAAGACCAGACTGGAGAATCCCATAGAAACAGCTGACCTGAACAAGGGGTTGCTCATGGACCCCAGACTGATAGCTAGGAAACCAGCATAGGATTGTTCCAGACCCCCTGAAGGAGGAAGTCAGTTTGGAGGTCTGGACAATCTATGAGGCCACTGGCAGTAGATCAGTATTTACCCCTAGTACACAAATAAATTTTGGGAGTCCTCTCCACATAGAGGGATACTCTCTTAGCCTAGACACATCGGGGAGGGCCTAGGCCCTGCTCCAAATGATATGACAGACTTTGAAGGTCCCCTCCCCATGGAAGGCCTCACCCTCTCTAGGGAGCAGAAATGGGATAGGGGGTCAGTGGGGGGCAGGGGAGGAGGAAAGGGAGAGGGAACTGGGATGACATGTAAATGAAGCTTGTTTGTAATTTAAATTAAAAAGGGGGGAACAGTAAACAGCTGAATCCACAGTCACAGACTCCTGACCTGTCCAGAACACCACCTGAGAGGTGATACTGAGAGGGCCACCACCAAGTAGCCTGTCCTTTCTTGGAGAAAAGGGTTATGACTTATTTGAAATAGTGAGTCCAGGAAGCACCATGCTTCCTGGGAGTGTGTGGTGGGGGGTGGGGGGAGGACACAGGTGATAGACAAGCAGGAAGCTGGAGGTCAGCGCCAAAGAATTAAGAAACACTTTGGGCACTTCCAGAGAGAAAAAACTGAGGAGGGTAGCCCCCTGTGAATGTGTACTGGGGTGCTAAGTTGAATGAAAAGACAAAAAGGAGGAGGCCAGCTGAGTACCAGAGTTCTCTTCTCTGCTTCCTGATCTACCCTATTATGAACTCGCAGCCTCACACACCCACGGCCATGCCTTTCCCAACATAATAGGCTGTATTCTCAAACCATGAGCCAAAAAGAACCTTTCCTCCAATGCGGTGCTTTTGGTCAAGTCGTGGTCACAGCCACAAGAAGACTAGCTAACACACAGACAGGCTCAACATTACTGAGCTGAGGTCTGTCAGCCTTGGCTTTGCCCCTGACTGACTGAGGAGACTCTCATCTGAAGACTGTCAGTCACAGGTTAAATTAACTCACAGAAAGGACACACCACAAAACCTAACAGGAGCCAGTACGACCCTTGCCTCAGTATCCTGTATATCAAAGATAAAATCTTTAGACACACAGACTCACTCTGGGACATGTAATGGCCCTCTGCAGCTTTGTCTTCATGACCATCGTAGTCCCTGCTGGATAGCTGCCTGTTGGCTGTCTCCAGTCGGTCTACAAACAAAGAATAAATGAGCCTGAGTCATCACACAACAATCACACAACAGAGAAATACGGTCAGTGCTAAGAGCTGCATCTGGAGAGAGAGACAATCAGGCAAGGGCCCAGACTGAGCAGTTTGGAGGTATGCTCCAAGCTATCATCAGAAAACCCTTGTGGGTCTGGGAATGGGCTCAGTCAGTAAAGTTCATTCTGCACAACATAATGACTGATGAGTCTGATGCTAGCACTCATGTAAAAGCTGCATCCGGTAGCATTCATCTGTCATCCAGCTCTGGGGAATGGAGACAGGAGGGTCCCTAGGGCTTGATGGTCAGCCAGCCTAGTTATAGCAGCCAGCTCCCCATTCAGGGAGACACACAGTCTCAAAAAGAAAAAAAAAAAAGGCAGGGTGAGGCTCAGTAGGTAAACAGGCTAACCATGGAGGCCAGACTACCTGAACTCAATTCCCAGACCCACAAAAAAGCCAGATGCAGTGATTTGCATCTACAACCCCAGTCCTCTTATAGAAAGACAGGAGAACCCGTAAGTTCATCAGCCTGCTACCCCGGAGCATGAAGCGAGAGAGACCATGCCTCAACAATGTAGAAAAAAACAACTCTCAAACGTTCTCTCAAGTACACACACACACACACACACACACACACACACACACACACACACACCACACACATGACCATGAAAGATATCTGACATTGACAGCATAGAGACCAGGTCGCACCTCGGAGATCTCTGTTGAAGTCGTGAAGTCTCCGGATCTCGCCTTCCAGCTTGTTTCTCATTGCTTTGTCTAGAGACTCACGCTTGGTGGTGGACTTAACCAGGCTCTCATAGGCTTCTGAAATCCTCTGCAACTCTTTTTCAAACTGTAAGAAAGACCTAGAATTAAAGTGCGTTTGTGACAGGGCCTCTGTGACACTGGCTGTGGCCGAATCTTCACGGACACCTCTCTGTGCCTCGTTTCACGTCTGCTCCATTTTGCTCCTACTCCTGACCTGTAAGAGCTACAGTAATCCTGTAGAGACAGTCTCTCAAATCTGGTCACATGGTCTAACATCACCCAGTAAAGTCTCGGTACTGACAGGAGTCAGGGGTGAATAACCAAAACATCCCCTTTAAAAGATTTAGTTTATTTGATTATGATTTATTATTATTATTATTATTATTATTATTATTATTATTATTGTTGTGTGTGTGTTTGTGTGTGTGTCCAAGGGGTCCAGAAGAGGGTGTTGGATCATCTGGAGCTCAAGTCCCAGGCAGATGTGAACCACGCAATATGGGTACTGGGAACTCAGATCCTCTGCAAGAGCAGCAAGCACTCTTAACCACTGAGCCATCTCTCCAGCCCCCTAAGTATCTTATTTTTGTATTATCATTTATAATGATTAATGAAGTTCCAATTTCACATAAGGAAGATATTAGATTGGGGGAAAACTCAAGTATTGTGACCAAACTCAGACTTGCAGACATTGTTCCTTTCAGAGACCCCACTCCTGTTTCTACGCTAAGCTGGGCTTCAAACTGAGTGTTGTCTGTGAAACAGCTCATGGAGAAGGATTGTACTTGAGCCTAAGTATGAACAGCTGTGAGTAGAAATCTCTTCATATGGAAGGGTGGGATTGAAACTGCAGGCGTGAGTTTATTTGTTCATATTTTACCAGGTCAAGAATGCTATCCACCGAGCCTTTAACCTACTGTGAAGACAGATCCAACAAGGAACTGTCACTGTCACAATGGCAGCCTAGTGTTTCCAAGTGGAATCCAACAGCTTCCAGCACATTGTTGTGTAGCATGAAGCAAACTAGATGAGATGACAGCCAAGACATGGGCCCAGCCTAGATGCCTATCCAACAGACAAATGGATAAAGAAAATGGGATTTAATACACAGTACAGCTTTATTCAGCTATAAAGGAAAATGAAATTATGTCATTTGCAGGGAAATGGTGTAAGTGAAGTAAGCCATACTCAGAACCACACATAATGTGTTTTATTCTCATAACTTATTTTAGTCTTGTTTTGTTTTTTTAAATATATGTGTACAGAGAATGAAATTTGAAGGGGCTGTTTGGGGTAAGAAAGAAACTCATAGGAGGTAGACAAGAATGTGAGACAGGGTAAAAGCACTATATAAAGCATGTCAAGGCACAGTGTGTAAAAATGGTAGGGTGGAACCCACTACTTTGTAAGCTAAACACACGCACAAAAAGGACTGTCTAAGAGACCCGCACACATGATACATGGAAACTCAGGTAAGCACTGAAGGCAGAACCTTAAGCCATGGGGTAGAAAAGTGCTTGTGCCATCACCCTTGTCACCAGAAGACCAGAGCCATGTTTTCAGTCCCTCCATGGAACAGACATGTTATCTAAGGAGGGTGGAGCTAAGAGAGCAAGGTTCCTTTGATACCATGAGATTCTCCATTAGGCCTCCTTATATAGGAGTTGGCTGTTTGTCTCACTCTTCAACAATGACTTTTTGCTTCTTCCAGAGCTACCATGAGTGGCTGATGTGTCCTGAACTGTGTTCACAGTATGGCTGCCAAGGATACTCCTTCCTTTGAATTTCATTCAAAACAGGATGTGCCAAGACAGGTCCTCAGACTCCTAAGATCTCTACGAACATCCTTGTTCTCAGAATGAAACCCAGGCATCCCAGGGTGTCCTGCCAATGACAGCCCATTATTTACCCGCTCCTTCCCACGGCCCCTCAAATTACTTCAGCATGTCACAAACCTTGTGAAGCTTGTCGGCGTTGTCATAGCAGCCCTGAAGCTCCTGGTGAAGCACACGGTTCTCCTCTGTGAGGATCTCCACCATTTGCTGGGCTCGCTCCACGATCGCAAAGGCGTCTGGTCCAAGCTGCTGGCTGGGGGAGGCTGGTGGAAGCTGTGGAGCCGCCAGGCTCATGGGAAGTGGAAGAGGCAGGGAGACGGAGTGCAGAGGCCCACTGATGGAGGAAGTCTGAGAGGACATGGGGCTATGCTGCTGCACCGTGGATGGAAAAGGAAGCTGGCATGGCCGGCTGTGAGGAAAGAGAGGACCAGTCATCAGACTCCAGAGGAAGTATGGGAGAGGAAGGAAGGTCACTAGCACAGGCATCAACAGTGGCTTCCTCGGGCAGGGGTCACCCATGCACTTTCCCACACTCAGCTAAGCAGTAGGTTCAGGCTCAGAGGCATTTATCATATTCTTCTCTCTAGCATTGGCTACTGGGAAGAGAGTGGACAAGCCAGCACAGGTCTCTGCTCTCTAGGAGAGACAGCCAAGCCATGCTAGAATTAGACAAAGCTGAGAGTAGAGTCCTAGCCTCCAAAGAATGGAATTCTGGAGAAGCCATTTCTATGTGCGAGGTCAGGGAGAGAGTCTGATAGGCAGAAGTTTGGGATGAAGTCTGTAAGGCAGCCAGGAGGGAGCAGTGGCTTGGATGGGAGGGTGAAGCTTTCACTATTCTGTTACCCTGCTTCATGAAAATCATGGAGCTTTCTCTCAAGCAAGCCAACAGTTTATCACAGCAAACTCACAGGTACACAACAAATGGCACAAAAGTCTTGTTCAGTTCTCCCATCCCTGTTGTCTCTCTCCTGCAGGGACAGGAGTTTAACCTTCTTGTTAGTCTCTACTTCCAGGTCTTGGCACTGAGGAGAGGTGACGAGACTTGACAGAGAGCCAGCTCTGTGTACTGGCACAGGCCTGTAATCTCAGCACATGGGAGGCAGAGGCAGGAAGATGACCACAAGTTCAAGGATAGCCTGGGCTACAGAGTAAGACCCTATCTCACAAAACATAAATAAATAAATCTGAAAGAGTCCAAAAATACCTAGCATTGCTGCCAAAGGGTGAGCCTCCAGAGAGTGCCACTTAATGTGCCACTCACAGCCAAAGATCACAGTACTTATTATTCCAATTTTACCCTAAGAGGTTACTCTCACTCACATATTTTCCCTTTAAGTACATTTTCTAGAGTATCTTAGAGCCTGCCAACTGTCATGGTCCCCATTCACAAGCGTGTCTCCCAGCTCTGATGCCTCAGAATGCCAGCGACTTGCAGGTATGTCAAATACTAGAAGTGTAAGGATCACAACAGCTATGCACCCTTCCTGACCATGGATGGACCCAGGCATATCACACCAGAGTGAATAACCTTGGGTCTTAACATCAGACCTTTCCGCACAGCCTCAGGAGATGCTCCAAACTAAATCTCCTTCCATGTTAAATTTAGGACTTCCTTCTCCAGTCATGCTAATCTAGCAGGGTCTAACTTTCCTGACAAAGGTCAAAAGTCATGGAGCACAACCCAGCCGTTTACTCCATAGGTTAGAATCCCCTTCCTCCTGTCTTCCATTCAGAAAAAAAAAAAAAAGTCACTGGGAGCTGTGCAGCATCTTCTCCTCTCTACAAACACTGCAGAGCTACACAGCTTTCCCTTTAGGCTGAGAGGTTTGAGGCATCTGTGCCCATTCCACATGTTGTCCTGCACAGAAGGTACAAACCCACCACAAACTAGACAGACTCTAAGTCCTGTTCACACTGTCTAGTGTTTCTGCAGGCCACAGGAACTCCTGTCAGGAGTGGAGCCCAGGAAGTCACAGCTGCACTGCTGACTTCAAATACTGATGGTCCTTCTCACCTCTGATGCAGCCCCTCACAAGACAAGAGGTAATGAAACTGTTGTCCTTGAAGCCAGGGGTGGTCAGCTCTGCTCTTGGACGGACTGGAGATGGAAGTGGAGGTGTTACCTCTGAGATTTACTTAAATTTGGGTTTGAATCCACTTAGTTAATGCACACCACCTCCTCCTTTCTCCTTAAGGTGAAAGACAGAATCTGATGACCATATCCTGATGCCTGCTGAATTCCTTCGAGAGGGTGTGAGGCTTCAGGGGGAAAAACATGCTTGCCAAGCTTAAAACAAGAGGTGAGATGATTCCAGACCAGGGGTCTTCTACCAAGCAGCAAGCACTGTCCCTATCGATCACCCAGGAGCACTTTTCAGAGAATAATGCCTGTAGTAGGATGGATGATGGTCAGGCAGGAGAGGAAACCTCTGCTTCTCAGGTCCACTGCTCAGGCAGCCAGAGAGGGAAAGAGGGCATGGAAGACAACATTTATTGAGAAACATAGTGAATATGTTTCTATGCTGTAACTGACAACTTGTGAGTCACTTTCCCCTATTGGATAGTGGTAGAGCATCCAACCTGACACACGGCTCTGGAGAGTGCCAGCTGTGTTCCATCACTGTAACCTCATACAGAGCTCGGCATGGACCACTCATGAGCACGTTTCAAAGCTTTACTATGACTATGGCTACATCTACTGAGCACTTCTTACGTCCAGCCACTGTGGTTAGCCTACACTGCAGTCATCATCTCATTTTGACTTTATAAAATATGTATCAGGCTGTTGGGGTGGCTCAGTGGGTACAGGTGCCTGCCACCAAGGCTGATGACCTGAGTTCGTACCCAGGTCCCATATGGCGGAAGGAGAGAAGCAACTCCCACAAGTTGTCTTCTGTCCCTCATACATTTACACCGTGGCATGTGTGCCCTTGCACACACATGTATGCATAACACACACACACACACACACACACACACACAGGATATCACTATTTGTCTATTTAAAAAAAAAAAAAAAAAACAGAGCACAGAAGGTACCCTGCAAAATACAAGAGATAGAACAGAGGCAAGAGAGTCTAATGTGGTTTTTGTTGTCTGTAGAAAGTGCACACACCACATCCACAAAGGGGCCACCCTATCTGCCAGGTAGACACTTCACTGCCTTACTAAGCTCTCACAAGAATAAAGGAAGGCTCCACTGGCCTGTTCCTATAAGACATCGGTTTAGGAGGTCAGCTGGTCAAATGACCAAATGAGCCTGGAAACACCAAAGGTGTGAACTGTTCCCATCTAGAGAACTGGTTTTTCTTAATATAGCTGCATAAGAATTAGAATTAAAAGCCCTCTCCTCCCCAAGGCCAAGGTCAGGTAAGACAAACAGGAACAGCATGATCTGGAGAATAGTGTCCTGAGAGACACAGAGGTACAGAGCTGGCTCTGTCAGAGATGGCCTGGGCCATTCTTTTGGAGACTGGCTTCCAGGATGTGTAGTTAATTCTCCCTCTCAACTTCCACCATTGTCTTCGTCCCTCTCCCCCTCCACACACACACAACCTGCTACTGCCTGCCTTCTGCTATTTCTATTCTCAAATTTATACTTTAACAGTACTTAATATTCCATGTGCACGCCTTTTCTTCTACCAAATTATTAGTGTACAGTTTTTCCAAGGATAGAAGCTTATGACTCATAGTGATTTGACACAAAGTCACATCTGTTAATTGATTTAATCCCCAACTCTGAGACCAAGTTGGTTCCTATTTGCTTGATTGCTTTTCAAAGAAGAAACAAACCTTCAACACTGTGATGAAGGGGCTAGGCCCTGCCAATCACAATTACTTAGACTGTGGAATCATGAAGATCCCCACACTCTGTCCTTCTCTAATAGTGTTTACTCCGCCTGGAGAAATGGGCTGTAGTAACATGTTCTTCCTCTCCCCACAGAACAGTCTTCATAAGCATATTAAACAAGGTTTTAAATTCTACCAGCAAACAGCTGTCATGAATAGCACTAACTTAATCTGCTCCTCACCAACCTGGGCATCCACTGTTCCCACACCAGGTGCAGCATCATTCTATTTCATAAGTATGCAAATTAAGGCTCCCAGGATTTACAGAACCACAAGAGCTGACATTCTGTCTAAAGTGAAAAACACTTCCCAAAGCATACACTCCCACCACACCAGGCCCCTCTGTCAGCACCACGGAACGGAGGCAAAGAACCAGAGCAGCTTCAGGGCACTGCCAGACACATCAGGACATGTCACCCAGCCTCAGCTCTCACTCCAGCTTGTCCAAAACAGAAACAGAGGCAGCTGAACACTTACTCTTGCTCTGGGTGAAGGACTCAGAATGTAAAGACTTGAAATTAGAAGGAAAACATCTCAATGGTTTTTATACTAATTACTTCCTGAAAGACAATATTTTAGATACCTGGATTAACTGCGTGTGGGAACTCTTGATTGGACTTTGTTACGTCTATGTGCTGTGTACATATGTAGGGGAAGCTGTAGCCACGCCTTCTTAGGGGCTGGCTACAGGTGTGCCTGACCACGCCCTCACAAGCGTGGTCAG